AATGACACGTTAAAAATCCTAAAATCTGATGAATAATCACCTGCCCCAAAAACTCCAGCGTGCCTTCATCTCCCCCATATCAGGAGAGGAGGTGACCCCAAACCATCCACTCTCAGCTGCCAGGACAAACCAGCGCCTGCAAAAAACGGGGTTTTGATGGCAAATTAAGCAAATTGATGCTACCTGGGAGGAAAAACAACAGGAACAGAGCTGTCTGACAGCTCAGACAGATGTGGGCACCGTCCATCGATCCTGGAGCGGTTCCCTAACAGGACCCAAACGGGGCAGTGGCAGCACAGCCATCGCTCCAATTCCCTTTGCTGCATCTCATCAGTGTCCAGAACCCCAATTTAACCCCCAGGCACCACAGAAAGGGATGAATTCCCTCTGTTGGGATGTCAAAATGCTTCAGAGTAAAGATCCTTAATGAGCTGGCCGTTAATGCCAACTTTGAGCCTGAACACACTCAATCCATGGCTGCTTCATTTCCAGAAGCCARGAGGGTCTGAAAGCAGGGAAAATGAAGATATTTAGCAGTGGCCAGAGCAGCCTTAGAGAAGAAGTGAATGCAGTGTGATATCAGTGGGATTCTTGATGTTAAATCACATGAACAGGCCCTAGAAGTCCACAGCAGCTTTGGGGTAGGCACCAATTTTTTTCTCTCTCTTATTACACAGAGAAATGTTCAGATTCTGCTCTGAGCAGGTGCTCAGGCAGCCAGGACAGGGCAGTGGGAAGATGGGGCAGGATCTGGGGGGGATTATGGCTTTTTTTTCTGTTTCTCTCTCCTGAATTAAAGCTGAGGAGCAGAAATGCCCTTCACAAACACGAGGCTGAGCTCAGCCACTGCACCAGCAGAGGAAGGACCTGGCACCCTGCAAAAAGCTCCCAGACCCTCAAGTTTTCCTGGATAATTCCTGCTCAAACCCCATCTCTTGTAAAGGTCTGGCACAGCTGATGCAGCCCCACCAAGTCCCTGATCCTGCTCCCCACCAACCCCAACACACATCCAAGTCCCTGTCAGGAAGGATTAATTTTATCCAAGACAAATGCCAAAAAAAAAAAGAGAAAAAGCTCACAAAACACACCACCAAGTATCAAACCCACCCAAACGTGCTGTTGTTTTATTGCACCGTGGTTTTTATGCCTTGCCATGCTGAAACAGTGGAGAGTCATTTGATTTGTATCTGATCAAAGACTTAACGAAATTAAGATTCAAACCTAATTATTGATGGAAATTCAAAGATCTGCATCTCACTCCCACGGGCAGCTGTAGCACTCAGTGGGCTGGAATCAGAAAGGGGAATGGGGCTCTGGGGATGGGGGAAATCCTGARAATTTGGCACAGGGGACAGAGCAGAGGGCTCCTCTTTGCAAATTTAAATGTCCTTTGCATCCCACAGCTGGCTGGCAAATCACCCTGAACGACACCCCCAAAAATCCAATCATGGTGACAGACACGAGGATCAATAATCACCCAGGGCAATCACCCTGCTGCCACTTCCCAGCTCTCCAAAAACAGCCTGCACAGCAAAAGCAACGAGCAGAAATGAAGTTTTCACTCCAGGCTCATCCAAAGCGGCCTCACGTCCGCTGACTCTCAGAAGAGAGCTGGGATTTAAGATGGTTTTTCCTGTTTATTTTGTTGGCCAATCTGGAAGTTCAGTGGCTTTGGGTCATCCCAACCTCCCAGGCATGGCCAAGCACCAGACTGAGATCTCTGAATTGAACACGGAAATAAAGCAAATTTCAGATCACAAATTTCAGATCACAACCTAACCTTCAGATCTCTGAATTGAACATGGAAATAAAGCAAATTTAAGATGACAACTTAACCTTCAGGTCTCTGAATTGAACACGGAAATAAAGCAAATTTCAGATCACAGATTTCAGATCACAAATTTAAGATCACAACCTAACCTTCAGATCTCTGAATTGAACACGGATATAAAGCAAATTTCAGATCACAAATTTCAGATCACAACCTAACCTTCAGATCTCTGAATTGAACACAGAAATAAAGCAAATTTCAGATCACAACCTAACAGGGTGATTTGCCTGATTTATTTAATTAAGCATCACATATTAAACCAGCACAGGGAAGTTTTATGAGGATGGGGGGAGTTTTAGGAGGACAGGGACACCAGTCCATGTCCCCACAKCAGGAGCACCATCCCTGCACTGCCAGAGCTCCAAACTCACCTCACTGCAGGGAAAAACAAATCAGCATGGAAGGGGATTAAAAAAATAAGACACAAGTGTCTGGATCTTAAAGAGCTTCTCTGCAGAGATGTGATTTCACCTCTGGCCTTTGAAACGCTGCTCACCTCGGGCAAAAATCTGTTTCTCATCACACACCTGCACAGCCCCAGTTAATTCACCGGGAAAGGTGGATGACAGAGTATTACTGGGTGTTTCAAGTCTAGCACAAGTGTCTYGTCCCCTGGCATTTTACCTGATTAATAACAAAATGGGCTCTGCAGCGAGGCAGACAGCTGGTTAGCCAGTCCAGCCAGCCGGGCTAAATGTGCATTTATCATCAAAAACGYCTCTGAAGTTCCTCGGTGTGCTCTGCCTACCCTGTGTCTGAGTGCATCACATCCCTACCCCGTGYCTGAGCGCATCACAGAGAGCTGACAAAGATGGATTTCTATGTTATTGCTCTGAAATTTGGCCTGGGGACACTGAACTGCTCAGCAGAGCCACAGCAGGGCTGGGGCATCCCGTGGATGTTTGTCCTCTCTGTGGTTGGGGTCATCTCCTTCCTCCCCTCCCAACATCCTCAGGCTGTCAGTGCAGCAGAAATTGTCTTTACTCTCAAAGCCAGGGATTGCCAAAAAAGCACCAAACACATCAAGTAAAAAGACTGACTCCAGATGGATTTGGGTCCCATCCTGGCCGAGGATAAGCAGCAGCTGAGCCTTACCAGAGCATCCACTCCCCTGCCATGGTGCTCTGCAGGTCCTGCAGGCTCAGCTTTGTGCTGGTCCCCTCCAGTGACCAGRTTTGCAGAGAGAGAGCCACCAAAGCCATCCCAAAAATCCCCTCAGTCACCTCCTGAAGCTGTGAGAGCAGCTGGGGGGTGAGCAGAAAACAATTTCATTAAAACAGAGGGGCTGTGAATTCTCCCCTCAGACCAGGCAGCAAGAACCTCCTTCCAAACCACCCTGGGATCCTCCCTGGATCACAGCTCCCACAGAAGCAGAGTTTGGGTTGGAAAAGTCCTCTGAGATCATCAAGTCCAACTGATAACCCAGCCCCAACCACGTCCCCAAATTCCACATCTTTAAACCCATTCAGAACTCCCCACAGAGCAAACACTGCACCAAAGCAGCTTTGCAGGATAACAATATTTCCTTTTTAGAAAAACCAAAACAACACAATAACAATAATGTGGCTTTCTCAGCACGTTCTAGGAAAGCTCCAGCCCTCCACATCCACAGCTCCTGCACCGCAGTTTATATTTGGAAACATCAGCGTGTGCGGAAAWCAGTTTGATGGGTCCACAGCCCGGAAAGGCAAGAGGAAATCTCGCAGCATTGTTCCAGCCCGGGGAGAGGCATCGGGATGTGTTGTTATTTACTCAGGGCCAGCACCCGGGCTGGTTTCACCCCACGGTTGGGGATTCCCGTTCCGGTGCCCTGCAGGATCAAGGACATCCTCCCAGAAAAGCGCCCTTTGCTCCCCAAAAAGGGGCTCCAAAGGAGTTCCTGGCTGTCCCCAG